GATGCTTTATGCATGCTGGTCTTTTGTTCCTCAGAAGTGTCTCGCCCTCTCTCCGCCCAGGGTCTCATCACATGCTGCTCTGTCTGCATGGACTGTCCTGGCCCCAGAGTAACCACTTTGAAAACAGCGAACAGTCGGGCGCAGGCGCTGATCCCTCAGCGTGGGTGCCAGGCGGGGGTAGCTGGGGCCTGGCACGGAGGGCGCTGGCTTTTAGTTGTGTGACCTGAGGAGGGGGCTGGGGCAGGGGTGGGCGTGCAGGGATTCACGGTAGCGTCTGTTCACTGCAAAGTGCACAAGTATTTTAAGTATTTACTTACCAGCATCGCATCCCCGTGAGAACCGGCTTACTGTTCGTGCTCTTTTGGTGTGTGGGGTCTGGGGCCCTCTCCTGCTGCTGACTTGGGTGACGTGATAAAGATATCTGCCTACTGTGACAATTAAATAAGAACTTGTATAAAATAAAGCACTTGGAACCGTACATGTCGCGTTAGTGATTGTCTAATGTTGGGTGTCGTTCTGGTTACGGGGCTGTTGTTACTCGGCTTTGAGCTTAGCCCTCTGTGCTCTGTTTCGTGGTGCAGGGGCTGGGCGTCCAGAAACACATTTCTCCTCCGCTTTCAGTGAGGTTTAGCCAATGAAGGATCTAGTGGGGACCAGGAGGCAGGGGGGGAAAGGGTGACTCGCCCCCTACTCGGGTCTCCCCTGGATGGTTCCCATTCCAGCTTCCTTCCCACTCGGAAAGCCTCCTAGTATTTTCTAGAGACACCACTGTTAGCTGGCCTGGGCCCTTCTTCCACGCGCCAGAGGTGCCAGCGGTAGCCTGGGCAGCCCCTTCCACAGAGGCCCGGGTTCCAGCTCTGCAGAGCCCCTCCAGGCTTCTGGGTTCTCACAACCTTACCCTCTTCCCTTTGCGCCTCCAGTTTGAAGGGTGGTAGGTGGTGGTTTCCTGTAGCCTTAATCTCCGTGTTACCTCAGTGTTGCCTGTTTAGTTGAACTAATTCCATATATTAAATTTTCTTTGTTAAAGAACAGTTTGGTTTCTGTCTGTCTGACTTGGTCCCGACTGATTGAACTGTTCTTGTTTTCTAAGGCTTGTGCTTGATGCCATCTTCTGTCGCTTCCCCTGGGGCCCTCTTTCCCTTCCTCACAACTTCCCTCCCTCCCTCCCTCCCTCCCTCCCTCCCTCCCTCCCTCCCTTCTCTCCATCTGCTCTGCCAGCTCGGGTACAACCAGGAGACACAAACCGCACTGCAATTTGAACAGGGAAAAATTTAAATAAAGAATTACTAACTATAACAAAGGCTTGAAATAACAGGGGCTTGACTACTAAGAAGTAAAGAGAATGCCAAAGAACACAGGAATTGCAGATATAAGGAGCAACCAGTGCCCCCAGGGCTAAGATGAGTGTCCAGGGAAGAGGCTCCCCTCCCCCTAGGCCTGAGATCCAGGCCTGCTTGGAGAGGGCACGACTGTGGCTCACTGGGTGGTGGTGAAGTCGCCGAGGGGTGGTGTTGGTGGAACTTGATGGAAATCCACCCTCTGGGGTGCAGGGGGGGAGTCGTCCACAGAAAGCTTCCATGACTTGAAACTGGCTTCGAAGCATCCTGAGGAAGTTCCTAGCTCCTGGACACTGCTGGTTGGTCCTGCTGTGCGAGAGCTCCTCACTGGAGAAGCTGCAGGAGATGAACGCCAGAGAAACAGGAGAAGCATGGCCAGAGGACTACCCAGAACCAGGAAGAGAAAAACTCCGCTCCCTCCAGCCCTCCAGTGCCCCTCCAGCGCCTCTACCCACGAGGCTGTACGTGCCAGCTGACAAGGGAGACCTTCAAAGGGCCCACCTTTATGTTTGCAGAGCAGGCAGCGAAGCTAAGAAGCAGTGATTGATAACTGGTGCTCAGTCAAGAGTAATTTAAATGCGGTCTGTTCACAGATGCAAAGAACTTGAGAGAACCTTTAGTTCCTAATGCATTACATTCTCACAAACACTTTGTTATTTTCTGATTTTTGCCAGTGCGGTGGTTGTGTAGTTTTCCCGTGGGTTTGAGTGGGTTTTCTTGTGGTTTTCCCGTGGGTTTGAGTGCTTTTTCTTTTGCGTGTGTGTGTGTGTGTATATATATATATATATATATATATGTATGTATGTATATATTGGGTGGGCCAAAAGGTTTCTTCAGTTTCTTCCGTACAGTGGCGGTAGTGGCACTCAGTTGTCTTTAACTTCATTCAAAACAATTTTGTTAAATTGTAGGTGACAGCTGTCATATCAGCATGCATTTAAAAAAAGTCTTATCAAAATTGGTGAATTTTTGTGTAGCCATTTTAATATCGAAGATGGAAGAGAAAAAGCAACATTTTTGGCATATTATGCTTTATTATTTCAAGAAAGGTAAAAACGCAACCGAAACGCAAAAGAAGATTTTGTGCAATGTATGGAGAAGGTGCTTTGACTGATCAAATGTGTCAGAAGTGGTTTGCGAAGTTTCATGCTGGAGATTTCTCGCTGGACGATGCTCCACAGTCGGGTAAACCAGTTGAAGTTGATAGCGATCAAATCGAGACATTAATCGAGAGCAGTGAAGGTTATACCATGCGGGAGATAGCCGACATACTCAGAATATCCAAGTCAAGCATTGAAAATCACTTGCACCAGCTTGGTTACGTTAATTGCTTTGATGTTTGGGTTCCACATAAGTTTAAGTGGGGAAAAAAACCTTCTTGACCATATTTCCTCATGCAATTCTCTACTTAAACATAATGAAAATGTTTCAGGTTTTTTTGCCACGTTGTGTGGCATGCAGAACTTTCCCAACCAGAGATCGAACCTGTGTCCTCTGCATTGGAAGCGTGGAGTCTTAACCACTGGACCACCAGGGATGTTCAAACGTTCCATTTTTAAAACAAATTGTGATGGACGATGAAAAGTGGATACTGTACAATAATGTGGAACGGAAGAGATCATGGGGCAAGCGAAATGAACCACCACCGACCACACCAAAGGCTGCTCTTCATCCAAAGAAGGTGATGTGTATATGGTGGCATTGGAAGGGAGTCCTCTATTATAAGCTCCTTGTGGAAAACCAAATGATTAATTCCAGCAAGTACTGCTCCCAGTTAGACCAACTGAAAGCAGCACTCAACAAAAAGTATCTGGAATTAGTCAACAGAAAATGCATAATCTTCCATCAGGTTAATGCAAGACCGCACATTTCTTTGATGATCAGGAAAAACTGTTACAGCTTGGCTGGGAAGTTCTGATTCATCTGCCATATTCACTAGACATTGCACCTTCAGATTTCCACTTATTTAGGTCTTTACAAACTTCTCTTAATGGAAAAAATTTCAATTCCTTGGAAGACTGTAAAAGACACCTGGAACAGTTCTTTGCTCAAAAAGCTGAAGTTTTGGGAAGATGGAATTATGAAGTTGCCTGAAAAATGGCAGAAGGTAGTAGAACAGAAGGGTGAATATGTTCAATAAAATTCTTGGTGAAAATGAAACGTGTCTTTTATATTTACTTAAAAACCGAAGGCACTTTTTGGCCAAGCCAATACACACACACACACACACACACACACACACACACACACACACACATATATTCTGTGGAGATTTGGACAAATGTACAAGGACATGTATCCATCACTGTAATATCATACAGAGAAGTTTCACTGCCCTAAAAATCCTCTGTGCTCCACCTGTTCACACCGCCTCCTGTGCCCCAGCCCCTGGCAACCACCAATCTTTTTACCGCCTCCATAGTTTTGCCTTTTCCAGAATGTCATAGAGTTGGAGTCATACAGTCTGTAGCCTTTTCAGATTGGCTTTTCATTTGGTAATACGCATTTAATGTTCCTTTTCATGGCTTGATGACTCATTTCTTTTTAGTGCTGAGTAATATTCCACTGTCTGGACGGACCGCAGTTTATCCATCTAATGAAGGACATCTTGGTTGCTTCCAAGTTTTGGCAGTTATGAATAAAGCTGCTATAAACATTCATGTGCAGGGTTTTGTGTGGACATAAGTTTTCAGTTACTTTGGGTAAATACCAAGGAGTGTGATTGTTGGATTGTATGCTAAGAGTATGTTTAGTTTTGTAAGAACCACCAAACTGTCTCCCAAAGTGGCTGCACCATTCTGCGTTCCCACCTGCAATGGATGAGAGTTCTGTTGCTCTACATCCTTGCCTGCATTTGTTGTCAGCAGTCTGGATTTTGTCCAGTATTCCGCAGTTTTATTTGGTGAAATAGCCTAAATGTGTCAACTAGGTTGTTATTAAATCGTATTTAAATCTTCTAAATATGCTGATTGTTTTGTCTGCTTATTATATAATTTACCGGAAAGGTATATTATTACTGCCGAATTTAATTGTGGGTTTTTCTCTTCGCTCTATACTTTTGTCAGTTTTTCTTTAATATATATTTGAGACCATGTTATTAGGTGATTCCAATTTAAAATTATACCTTTCTGTGAATTAAGTAATTCTGAAATGACTTTAAAAAAATTTCCATTAATACTTTTTGCCTTAAAGTTTATTATGTCTGATTTTAAGTGGTTGTATGACTCCCTTTGTAGGCTGGTATTTGCCTCGTATATCTTTTCACCATTCTTTAACTTTCAATGCTTTGATAGCCTTATGTTTTACATGTCTTGTTTTAAATTGTCTATTGTTAGATTTTAAAAGATCCAGTCTAAGAGCAACTGTCTTTCAATTGGAACACATATTCCAATGATATTTAATGTGATTACAGGTGTATTTGTGTCTACAGTTACAATGTTTTAAAGAAGTTAATTAATTTTGTATAAGTACATTGTTTTGGTAAGGCATTTTCATATTAACGTCATACCCAAAGTTTCATTGTGGTGAGAGACTTTTATAGTTAAAAGAAGCAAACAAGCTTCCTGTTTAATAACGTGGAGTATTTCTAACTAAGATGTATTTATTTGGTGTTTTGAAAAATTCTTTTAACCATGTATCTTTTTTGCCTTTATAAATCCTCAGCTTTTCGCTGTGGTCTGCAGTTTTTAGGCAATATTGCCTCACGGAATGAAGATTCCCAGTCTATTGTTTGGATGCATGCTTTCCCAGAACTCTTTTTGTGAGTATATTGATAGAGTTTTTCTGACTTCTGAAAAGATTGTGGTTATATCAATTCCCAAACAGGAGAAACTAACCTTTGGTGACAGAACTCAGGACAGCAGTTGCTCTTGGTGGGTAGTGGCGGGTGTAGTACTGGCTGGGAGAGGGCACGAGGTAGACTCGTGGGTTCCTGGGAATGTTCTGTGTCTTGATCTGCGTGGTGGTCACGTAGGTATATACACATCTCATTGGGCTGTACACGTAAGGTTTATGTCCTTCATTGTGTGTCAGTTTTTGCTTTAAGTAAATAAAAGTTTTGGTTAAAGTAAGGAATGCTGTTAAGGACACATTTTTTATAAGAAAAAAGCCATAAATTATTGAAGTATGGGCAATGAATTAATCATGTGTTTATTAATTGAGCATTTCTTATATGCTCGGCACAATGCTGTATGTTTTGGTAGATATGGAGAAGTATAAGATGTGGATAACCAATCTGTTTATGTAGATTGATTTATGGTGTACTTTCCCTGGTGATTTGCTACTGTGTTTTGACCAGCTGTGTTCATAAGAAATGGAGCATGGAGATGAAAGGTGAGCAGGTGATGGAGGAAGGATAGGTAATAGGAAAGGCCCCCATCCTGGGGCAGGAGGCCTGGCTTCTAATCCAGGTTCTGTTGCCAACCAATGGGGTAACTTTGGTGGTGGCAACGATATAAGCAGCAGAGCAGCTGTCGTTTGAATGTCCAGAGCTGGGTCTTTTCTGTATATTTCCCGTCCTTTACCCTTTGCCCTGTGGGGCAAGTGGTACTGTCCCCATTTGGTCAAATGAGGGAACTGACACTTATCACTGGTAATGGCGTAGCTGGAACCGGAACCCCATGCTGCCCTCTGGATCCAAAGCCTACGCTCTTTAAATACCAGCTGCCTAAGTTCTGTGCTGCCTTCCCTGGTTGTATAGGTTTTCTGGGCTCATCTGTATGGTGTAAGGACCAGATAAACACTAATGTTATCTCTAGCTCACTGAGCCTGTAACCGGTTCTCAAATTCCTGCACATAATTAGAGTTGAAGGCATAAAATCTTTACGGTTAATAATAATTGAGCTTAGGTTGGAAGGAAAGAATTGTGGAATTCAAGCTGTAGAAATAAAAATTACTCATTTTTGAGAATTCATTCCTTTCAAACATTTTGAATACCTCATCTCTGCCAGGTTCTGAGCTAGAGGAATGGAATAAGGGTAACTTAGATATATTCACCACTCCCCCAAAGCCCGTGCTATAAGCATGTTGTAGTGTAAGAACTGATGTATTAATAACACAGGTGAATCCAGGTGTCATAGGGACACAGAGGAGAGGCCCTGAACAAGGCCGTCAGAGGAGTTTACTTGGCAATTACATGGTGGTTTTACATTCGTTATCAAATCTGGTGCTCACAGAAGCCCTCTGAGACAGGCCAAGGAGGTCTTGTTATTATATTCCACTTTTATGTCAGAAAACACACCGAAAGAGGTTATGTGACTTCACTCTATATGTGTTTGTGAGACAGATACAACCAAATTTGAATTCAGCTTTGGCAGGTACTGGCTTTGTGCCTTTGGGCAAGTAAAGTCAACACATTCTTCATCTATAATAAAGGATAAAACCTCCTCCAGAAGAGTATTATAAAGTTTAAATGAAAGAAAAAAAAGTCCTGCCATAGTGCATAACCCATAATATAATTGAAAATTGATAAATTAGTGACCTTTCTAAGATCACATAGCTGATAGGTGGGTGAACTGGGAGTTATACGGAGGCTTTTGACTCCAAATTTTATTTCTTGCCAATATATCATCTTTCCCTTAAACATTCTGTCCCTCAGACTGTTAAAGAAATGTCTGTAGTCATTGAAGTATCATTTTATGCCTTTTGATTTTTTTTCTAACAAGAATGAACATTTTAATGCTTTATAAATGTAATCATTTTACCTTTTTCTTTAATCAGATTCTATTGGCTTTCTGCCTCTGACTCATAAGTGAACTGCAGCTTTTGTATTGGGTTCTCTGTGTCGTGACTAATTTTCAATTTGCTGTTTTTGCCATAAATTATGTACTTGTTTAAAAGTGTTGTAATTCTTCATTAAATCCTTAAAAATATCAGTATATGCTGAACTTGTTAATGGGATTATTACTATTTATGAGTTATAATCATGTTTTATCATGCTGCTAAGTTGGGCTAACACCCTGATTTCTTTATTTGGAAGGTCTTGCTTAAATCATCCAGACAAAAAGATTGTTGCCTACTCATCAATGATTTTGTTCACATCCCTTAATTCTGAAAGAATGAAGGAGCTGGAAGAAAACCTCAATATTGCGATTGATGTCATAGAAGCTCACCAGAAGCAGCCTGAATCGGAATGGCCGTGAGTATCTTGTTAGAAATGTGGCTGCTTAAACGTCCTGACATCACTTTCCTGGTAGAGGTTTTAAGTAAAAGTTTGAATTATAACAATTGAACAGTAAGTTTAAGCTTAACATATGTTGAAAAACTAGGAAAAGGTCCCATTTCTAGCCTTTCTTGTTTGTAAATAAATATGTGCTTCTCTGATGTCCTTTCTATTCTGACTTCTGCTTTGGATGGAGTATATTTTTGATCCTCTCCCAAGATAATTTGTTCTATTTTCCATAAAGCTGGAGTATTACTTACAGGCCCTAAATGTCTTTGTGGCATTTTATGTTTCTGATTAGTGGGACCCCACCTCCCTCATAAAATATTACCACAGAATTTCTGCATTTACAGAAATAGTAATTCTGCAAAAGAATTTAATTACAAATTTAAAGTTTATAGCTTAGAAAATATTAAATGTGATTGAGACTCTTCTTGTTATAAAGGTCTTTATCTTTGGTTCTTCCCTTGAGCAGATATAGGGTAAGAAAGTCAACACAATGAATTCTGAAAGTTGAGAATTTGCTTGTAACTTCGTGCAGCCCCTGGAATGGAAAGTATATTATATTTAGAAAAACAGTCCCAGCAACTAACATATAAAAACTCATGAGTAATTGACAGCCATTTAGATGACCATTTTTGAGTTGCAAGAAAAAAATCTCCCTGTCACTGGCATTCCATCATCATTGCCTTGTGTATCCAATATTATTTGCCACCAGGATTATACACTCAATGTTATGCCATAAGGTGGTGTAGCAAAGAATTCCAGTTGTCTGTATGGATGTCCAGTCAGAACGCTTTTTTTCTGCCTGTATTGTAAACTGTGAGAGACAGTTCTTATCCTTTAAACAGTGCCAAAGTAAAAATGCTGCTATCTTTACGCACTAGTAGATGTTTACTATTTGTTGAATGAAAGAAAGGATAAATGGGTTTTACTCCTCATTGGTTTGACCTGAAAGCAGCATGAAGAACCAGACCCTAGCTCAAGGTTTAAGTTCACCCGAACTTCTTTCCAGAGAGGCTGCCGGAGCAGAGGTACCTGGGGAGCATCCCAGGAGGCACCACAGAAGTCAGGAAACTGAGCATTTGTTTTGATTTTTAGGTGAATGAGGAACCTTAGCTAAGGCACTGAACTTCTGTGGGCCTCTTCTTCCTTATTTCTAAAATGAAAGAATTGATTTAGGTTAGAAGTTTCCAGACTTCTGAATTTCGTGTCCCATATGTTATTTTAAAGGCATGTGGACATGGTTACAAACTCACTAGAATGGTTGGTTTGGCACAAGGACTGTTGGGTAGCGACACTGCCTGTCTTGCTGTCTACCTGTCTGAGCTTGAATGGCGCAGTACCTTAAGATGTCATTCTTGCCCTTTGCTCTGATGACTTTACCTTTTTAATTATACTTGGTTAAAGTGAACGAGCCAGTATTCAGTTCTGGTGACTTTTAAAGCATATGGTTTTGCATTTGACTGGTTACCTGGTGAGCACAAGCTTGATGTCATTGCCAATCAGTACTTATCTGAATAACTCAAAAGTGCAAAGGAATGCTTAGGAGATTTACCTGGAAAATGAATAGTCCATCTGCACCTCTGTGGGTACCCAGAGTTTTTCCTGGGTTGATCCTGCACATCCGGGAGCTGCCTGTCTGTACTTCCCTGGTTTGGGGCCTGGCTTACACTGAGGAGTAGTGCCCAAGTGGCTTTGCTGTGTCTTACTGAGGGCCCACCGTGAGACACTGCTGAGAGCACTGCCCGCCGTGTCACAAGGCAAGGGGCTCTGGTTTCTCTGCAAAGACTAATTGCCCTTTTCATGAGGGATCTGATTTGCTTTTATCTTGGAGAACCCGTGGATTGGAAACTGCTCCTGCTTTGTGCAGGCTTCTAGGAGAACCCGTGGATTAGAAACTGCTCCTGCTTTGTGCAGGCTTCTAGGAGAACCCGTGGATTAGAAACTGCTCCTGCTTTGTGCAGGCTTCTAGGAAATTCAGGAAACATGCAGATGCTTGCTTCAGACATTAATTAATCGATTCAGTAATTATTGATGGAGTTCTTGAAGTGTACCAGGTACTGTCCACGGCACTGGAGATTCAAAATTAATAAGACGTTACGTTTTAGTGAGAGACAGATAATGAACCTAAAACCCCAAATAAATGTATAACAAATGTCAGATAAATTGGAAGAAAAATACACAGAATGTGTACTAAGCTGTCCCTTAGAGTGGTACTTGACTCATAGTAAACGCTGTATAGCATTAGCTAGTATTTTATTAGTAGTAATACAAACATGATTGGTACAGAAGACAGACAGTGGAAAAAACAAGAATCAATGTTGGGTCTTTTTTTTTTTTTTTTTTTTTTTTTTTTTGGGCCATGGCATGCGGGACCCCTGCAGTGGAAGCACGGAGTCCTAACCACTGGACCGCCAGGGAATTCCCATGTTGAATCTTTTTTTTTTTTTTTTTTTCTTTTTTTGCCATAAGCGGGCCTCTCACTGTTGTGGCCTCTCCCGTTGCGGAGCACAGGCTCTGGACGCGCAGGCTCAGGGGCCATGGCTCATGGGCCTAGCCGCTCCGGGGCACGTGGGATCTTCCCGGACCGGGGCACGAACCCGTGTCCCTTGCATCGGCAGGCGGACTCTCAACCACTGAGCCACCAGGGAAGCCCCTGAATCTTGATTAAGTACTCTGGTGAGGTGAGGTGACGCAGAGTAACTTTGTGCTACTTTAAAATTTGGAGGTCAAGGAAACCTTTCCCGAGTTGGTGACATTTGAACTGAGAACTGGGTAGCCATCATTGGAAGATCTGTGGGTAAAGGTGGAGACAGATTGGGAAGAACAGTCCCAGCAGTGAATACACAGGGTGCAAAGACCCCAAGGCAGAGGCCTCTGTCGCAGGACTAGGGAGACCAGGGTTTGGACAGTGTAGTGGGTGAAGGGGTACCTGGAGGCCAGTGATGTGGGGCTTTGTGAACCAGGAAAAGGCGATCGTTTTACTCTTTGCCATGAGAGGCGATTGGGGAGTTTTAAGCAGTGTATGGAACGACCTGGTCTGTGTTAGTTAGTTAGTTAGTTAGTTATACATACTTATTTATTTTTGGCTGCGTTGGGTCTTTGTTGCGGTGTGCAGGTGTCTCATTGCGGTGGCTTCTCTTGCTACGGAGCACGGGCTGTAGGCGCGTGGGCTTCAGTAGTTGTGGCTCGCGGGCTCTAGAGCGCAGGCTCGGTAGTTGTGGTGCACGGGCTTAGTTGCTCTGCCGTATGTGGGATCTTCCCTGACCAGGGCTTGAATCCATGTGCCCTGCGCCGGCAGACGGATTCTTAACCACTGAGCCACCAGGGAAGTCCCTGGTCTGTGTTTCGAAGGCTCCCTCTGATTGCTGGACTGAGGTTGAGCTGTGGGGAGGGGAGAGGGAGGAATGGAGGCTGGGCTGCCTGTTAGGAGGCAGTTGTAGTTGTCAGGAGGCCAGGGTGGCTTAGATGAGGGTCGTTGCGGTGGGATGAAGAGGATGAATAGCTTGCGTGTGCTCTGCAGGCGGAGCCGATGAGGCTTACTGTGGATTCGATTTGGGGGTGAGGTGGGAGGGAGGAAGGCAAGGGTGGGAGCTGGGTTTTTGGCTTGTTTGAGTGAGGTGGGTGGAACAGTTTGGGGTGGGGCTAGGGGACATCAGGAGTTCGTTGTGACTGCGTTAAGTTTGAGGTGCCTTCTCTACATCTGAGTGGAGCTGTCCTGTGGCCTTGTTGACACGTATGTCATCCTGCATATGGGCAAGTATGATTGTAGGATAAATTCACGATTCACAGTTACTCGCAGAGAATGTGCTTTTATAATTTTGACAGACACTTCCAAGTTGTCCTTCATAGATGTTATACTAGTATATACTTCCCTTGGCAAATTTTGAGAGTAGTACCTGGTTTCCTTTATCATTGCTAACAGAGTGTGCTATCAAAATTTTGGATTTGCCAATTCTGCCAAGGTTTAAGATAGTATCATTGTATAGTTTTATTTTGTATTTTTCTTGTTATGAGGCTGAGCATTTTATCTATTGAGGAGTCTAATTTTCTTTTATGTACATTCTCATTTTCTTCACCCATTTTTCTATTAGGATGGCAGTCTTTTCTATATATGTAGGAATATTTTTTAAATTAAGGATATTAGTCCTTTGTATGAAATAAAATCCAAATTTTTTTCTCCCTTTTTTGTCTTTTGACTTTGCTTCTGGCACTTTTCTTCATGTAAAGTTTTTGATATTTTAGTAGATGAAATGGCCGGTCTTTTTTAATGTCTTAAGATTTTTGATAATAGCTATAAAGGCCTTTTCTCCACTTAGGTTTTCTTCCAGTATTGTGTCATTTCAGTTTTGATGTTTAAGTGTTTGATCTGCTTGGAATTTATCTTGGTATAAAGGTCCCAGTATATGGACCTACTTTCATTTTAGCTCCAGGTAATGCTGGTGGTCACAGCGACCGCACCGTAGTGGATCTTTCCTTTGTCTTTGCCCCATTCCCTGCACCCTTGACCACCCCTGTGTGTGGAAAACGTTTTCAATTCAAGTTCCACTTCTTCACCACACATTCCAGCATGTAGAATAACTCTGTCCTTCACTGAGTGTGTCTCAGTCTGCTAATTAGGCCATAAGGATTTTATAAAAATATTGATCAGAATACAGTTACCATGCATTTTTTAGGGTATTTTGTTTGTTTAGGAGGAAATTCTCCAAAGTGCCTTTTATTTGCACAGCCTGATTGAGTTATGTTTGTTGTTTCTTGTCTGAAAACTGTTTCATGTGTTTTGTCTGCTTTTGTAGTCGTTTAAGGTAGGAGGTCAATTGTTCACCTGTTATGCCTGGAATTGGAAGTGATAGTTGGAGATTTTAACACTCACTTTTTAGCCACTGATAGAAGTAGACAAGCATCAGTATAGATGTAGATGATCTCAGTGGTACTGAGATAGGTAGCCACCTTCACATGAGTCTGGTTTATAGAACATTTTCTCAACACTTGGAAAATTTACTTTCTTTTCAACTGTCTGCATTATGTTCACTAAGATAGACCGTAGTCTGGGCTATAAAAAGTCTCAGTGAATATATGAAAAGGATTGGAAACATACGGAATATGTTCCCTGACCACAATTAGCCTAGAAAACCATAGCAAGATGATCTAGAAAAATTCTGAAGTTTTGGAAATTAGCACATCTAAATAATTGATTTGTCACAAAGGAAATCACAAGGCAAATTAGAAAATCTTTTGAACTGAAGGATAATGAAAGCATAAAATGTGTGGGATAAAGCTAAAGCAGGGTTGAGAGGGTAATTTATAGCTTTAAGTGTTTATGTCAGAAAAGTAGGTCTGAAATCAGGGACTTAAGGTTCTACTTTATGAAGATAGAAAGAGAAGAGTACAGTAAATCCTCAGTAGAAAGAAGAAAATAAAAGGACACAAGTCAATAACATGGAAAACAGGAAAAAAAAATAGAAAGGATTAACAAAGGCAAAGTTGACTCTTTAAAAAGATCAACAAAATTGATTAAGAAGAAAGAAAGAGAGCACTAATGACCAGTATCACGAAAGAAGGCGTGGTTGTCACCTCAGTCTTAATAAACTCAAAGCTTGGTGAAGCTCCCTTCAACTGACAGTTCTGCAGGCTGAGGGCTGTTTACAATAACATTCAAGGACATAAGTGTTAGGTCCCGAGTCCCTCTTTAAACCCTGGTAGTATTTTATTGTTTATAATTCCCTTAGTACACTGCTCTTCTTTCTTTCAAGCAGTCTTTTCAAGTCCTTTTGTGTCACCTCTAATTTAAATGCTCTCCCTTCCCTCTGCAACTAGGGATTCACCGAACTCCTGATTCTCCTGTCCCATCCATCGCCCCTCTTCCCTGCAGCCCTCTAGTTAGATTAACTTTGTTGTTTCTGTAATCCGTGACGTGTGCCTGTGTGCTGCACCTAAGACATTTTTCTCTAATTATCTCTCTATGCGTGTGTCTTTCTCCACCCTTAGAGTTTGGAATTATGGCTTGGGACCTAGCCCCTCGCACATAGTATTTGGCACATTGTGTTTTTGAATGAATGTTCTTGTGGGAAAATGTTTTGAGCTCCAAATAGGTGAATTATGGATGAGCTTTAGGGTCACAGTTTTGTATACCTGGCGTGATGTGCATGAATTTCTGTTGTCGCTGTTTGATGACCTACCTAAATTGACGTGAAAATTGAGAATTTTGAATATTACCCATTATTGTTGGAAATATTTTACATCAGTGCTGGTTACTTATTTGAAAGGTTGTGGAAGAAACAGAACATGTGTCTAGGTTTTGTGTTTGTGTGAAGTGACGCTGTGTCGTGGTAGTTAACATGCCTCATTTGGCTACCGTACTTAAAGGCATACTTTTGTTCTGTTATTTATTAAGAAGTGATTAAATAAACCGTGTTTGTCAATATAAACGCTTTACTGTCATGCTTATTCATAACCTTGGTTATGAATAGTATATTCTTTAGTTCTTAAGTCTTCAGATGCCCTCTGGTAAATATGATTCAGAATTAATTAATAGTACTATTCAATCTTTTTAGGTGTCACAGTGGTACTTTGAAGAAATATGCTTGTAATCTTTGCCTCAAGGGTTTCCCCAAGTTGATCTCTAAGTTTCGATGAGTGCATTGCTTGACAGTGAGGATGTTTTCTTGGTAACTTGAGAGCTCTTAAGGAGTAGATAATCAAGCCAGTATTCATTACTGTGTTGTTGGCATATGTTTAAATAAAAAGTATGACATGTCTATTTCTCTGGTTAATTTTAGCACTAAGTTTCTGACTAAAACAATTTAATATGTTTTATTATACCTGAGCTTGTAGCTAAATTTCATATTATTGTTTGAACTATAGTGAACTATTTTTCTTTCTCAACTTAGATAAAAACTATAGTAGGCCCTTTCCTCCAGTTGAATAAATTTGAATCATTTCAATACATTTTTCAGAAGTAAAATCGGAGAAAAATATTTTGAGGGTTTTCATTCTCTTTTAGCTGCTAATAGAAAAATAGTATGTGGACCTCTAAAACATTTGAAGATTACAGCTAATCAAAAATTCAATAAACGGGAGTACTTTTATGTATAAGATATGCCTATAAAGTAGATAAGGCCATGTCTATTTTACTGTTTGTAGTAACCAAACCTTTCCCTCCTTTTTTCTTAGGTTCTTGATTATTACAGACCATTTTCTGAAAAGCCCGGAATTGGTTAAAGTCATGTATGCCAAAATGAGCAATCAAGAAAGGTAACCCCAAAAACCAGTGTGGTTTTGAGTATTTAGCATTCCATATAGAGTATTCTGTACACATGACTGAAAAACTGTGTGGTTTCTTAGTTGGCACAAAATCTCTAAATACATGTTTCTGTGTCAGTAATGGTTTTAAATTGGTTGGTTAACATTACAGCGCAGCCACAACAGGCAGTGATTTACGTAGGGTTGCAGAATCCAGGTTGGCGCCATTGTTCAGTAAAACCATATTAAAAAATGTTAAGAACAAAATGTTATGCTTGTCCCTCGATTTTATAAAAGTAAATCATGCAGCTGTGTATTACAGCTGTATAGGTGAAATGTGCTCATTTGTTCACATCCCTGCTGTCATGATTTGGGATACATTCTGCTAGGTTTATAGTTTTCCAGTAGATATTTTAGACTGAAAGAAAATCAGTACCTCTCTGTGACCTTCACTGGCCGAGTAGGGGAAGAGCAGTGCCCTCTGAGCCCAGAGACCTTAGTACCTTGGCTCTGTGCTTTGTTGTCATAGTAACTCTTTATGTGACCTTAGCCAGGTCTTTCACCTTGTTTGGATTCAGTTTCTTGACATGTAAAATTAGAGGATTGAATAAAATGATTCCTAGTACTCGGTCCATTCCAAGAGTGTATGTTTTTCCTAACCTGATTGGAAATGTTGCCTTAGGAAAATAAAACTTACTCAGAAGGCACAGATCTAATGATCAAAAACCGTAAAAAATGTTAATCTTTTGATTGTAGTCACAATTTTGATAATTGCTGTGGTTTTGAAATTCTTTCTGTACATTTGGGTTCCAACAGTTAATCTTTATGCACTCCTTTGTAGTCTTGTTAAGTAGTGTTTTTTCCTTCTTTAATATCTTTAACAAAAAGGAAAAGTTTGTGCTTTTAAAGTCAGTTTAAATGCCATATTTATAAATCCAGTACCCCCTGCCACCACTGTCATATGCCTACTTCTCTTGCAGAAAAAGAATTAAAATAAGTAATATGAAGAATAGTGCTATAAATTAGTAAATTGCTTTGCAGTAAGGAACGTCCGAATGCAAGAGAATACACAGTTTAATATTCAAGTCTATATTTTCCATATTCCTGTCAAATGATCTATTGTTAACCGATCCGTTTCCTAACAAAATGAGGATGACAAACTAAACATTGTCCATTTTTATTTATACAGAACTTGTAGCCACGGCTTTCCTACTTCATACAAATTCCTTACTCAGCTGCCACCTCTTCCCCGTCCTCTATTTTTCTTCCACAGGAGAAGTGCTTTTGTTTCATCACGTCGTCTGTTACACATTGTATCACGTCACATACCTGCTTGCCATTGTATGACACTAGTGTTAGATTGTTAGCTCTGTGAGGGCCAGGATTTGGTCTTTTTTATTCTGTGGTGTCCACATTTCCTAGCCAGTGCGTGGCACGTAACAAGCGCTAAAAAAAGTTTTTGAATGAAAGCTTGTGTAGACGAATGAATTTTTCTTACTCATGAAAAGTTTTATCTAGTATATTCATTAATGTAACATCACCTACTGGATTGGAAACCTCAGAGTTATCCCCACCTCCTCCTCCACTTGCCGCTTTACACTGGTCGGTAAGCCTTACCGAGTGTATCACCTTAGTATGTTGTGAACTCACTCGCTTGTCACAGCTCTGGTTTACATGTCACCTTTGACTGGACTTTGGCTACAGCCTGTTTAAAAACTGTGATAAAATACACATAATATAGAATTTGCCATCGCACCCTTTTTAAAACGCGCAGTTCAGTCGTTTAAGTGTATTCACGTTGTTGTGCAACCAGTCTCCAGAACTTTTCATCTTGTAAAATGGAAACTATACCCATTAAACAACTACCCCTGTTTCCCCCTCCCCCAGCCCCTGGCAACCACCACTCTACTTTCTGTCTCTGTGAACTTGACTCCCCTAAGTACAGTTGATGCTTGAACAATGCAGGGCTCAGAGGCACTGAACACCAGCGTCAGAAACCCGAGTGTAACTTGCAGTCGACCTCCGCATCCGAGGGTCCTCTGTGCCCTCAGATTCAGCCAACGGCAGATCATGTAGTACTGTAGTGCCCGTTTATTGAAAACATTCCACGTACACAGGGACCCACACAGTTCAAATCCATGTTGTTCAAGGGTCAGCTGTACCTCACGTAAGTGGAGTCACACAGTATTTGTCCTTTCATGACTGGCGTATTTCACTTAGCACAGTGTCCTTAAGGTTAGTCCATGTTATAGCACGTGTCAGCATTTCCTTCCTTCCTGAGGCTGAATAATATTCCACCGTACGTATTGACATATGTCACATTCTGCTTGTCTAGTCGTCCATCGATGGACAACGGGGTTGCTCCACCTTTCAGCTACTGTGAATGATACTGCTGTGAACAATACTGATTGTTCTAATTTTTGTTTTTCCCTTCTCCTCTGTCATCTACTGAACTGCCTGCATGGGTCTTGCCCTGCCATTTAGTGGCGTGTGTAGCTTGTTACAGGATGCAGTTAGACTCCATGGTGTGGTGTTCAAGGCCCTTTTTAAACGTAGCTTCAGTTCCAGCTCCTTCTCATTCTCCCCCAGTCACCACACTGTAGCCGCACAGAACTCCTCTCAGTTTTCCAGGCTTCCCCTTTGGCTTCATGCTTTTGTGTGTGTCCTCTTCTCTGCCCGAAATGTCCTGACTACCCCCTCTCCCTCTGGTGAATACACACTCGTGCTCTGTTGGCCCTTTTCAGATACTGCCTGCTTTCTGCTGGCGCTCCTGACTTTCCCAGGCAGTTCTTTGCATCCTCACCTGCACGTTTATCATGATAATTTGCTTTTCTGCTGGAATATGTATTCTTCAAGGACAAAAACCGAATCTTGTGAGTTCTCTGTTCTTAACACCCACCAGAATCAGTGCTGGAACAGTGTTGGAATGGAAAACTCTACTAATATCAAACACTTACTGAAGCCTGTCTGTAAGACGCCGTCTCTGTTGATACTGTAGACGGCAGATGGCTCCGTCAGCCAGGAGGAGGTGGTGTGCTGCCATGGACCTCGAGGGTGTTGGCCGGTTCCGGTGGAGCTCACTGTGGGAACTGCTGAGTCTGCTTACTTGTCTTTGCTCAGGGGCGGGAGGAGGGGATGGGGTCTTGGCAGGAGCGCTCAGAGTTCTGCGGCCGAGTAGAGGCTGCTGGGTTCCCTGTTGACTTGTTTGGGGCAGTGACAGATAATTCTTTGTTCAGAGTGGAACGTTGACAGAATAATAGGATTGAAAAGATACGCTTTTCTCAACAGGGATGTATAACGAATTAACTTCTCCCCTTGCACCTGGAATGGTGCTACACACCATCCTGTGAGTACCGAGAAGACACTCAGGACGTTTTCTGTGTTCTGTGGTTCAGATGAGGGACTGCACTGGAGATTTCTGGGGGGCCTTTGTGGTGTCTCAGCTGGGAGCACACACCAGAGGCTCCTGAGGCAAGCCCAGGCTGTGGCCCCAACCTGCTGAATTAGAGTATATGGTCTCATTGGGGCTGTTAGATTTAAAACGCTTGAGGCTCAGTCAGCAAAACAAGCAGTGTATTCATTAAGCACCTGCTGGTGGTCCCTGGGTCCCCAGGGTGCACAGTCCCCACCCGCCCTTAGTGTGGGCGCGTAGGGAGGGGAAGCGCCGTGTGAGCTCGGAAGCTCTTTTCGTGTGCTGGTTCTTTCAGTTGTCACAGTTAGTTGACGGCTTCACCCTGGTAGTTTATTTGGGCAGATTACTTGGTGAAGATACTTTGGATACAGGGTCAAAATCAATTCACATGGTGTGATTCAGCAGAAACGAGAGCCTGTGTTTATACAATTTTCTTGTCCCCCTTCCCAGCAAATTGGAGTAATATTGAATTAAACTAGCTGCTCTTGGAAACCAACTTTTGTAGTTTTCAGGTTTATAATTTGTATAGCATAGCAGTTAAGAGCAGAGGCTAGCTGTGCCACTCACTACTTTGGGCAAGTTACTTTTTGGAACTCTGTTTTCATCTGTAAAATGAGGATAATAATGGTAGGCACCCCCTGAAATTGTCGTGGTTACTGACTGAAATGTATATAAAGCTCTCAGTGCTGGCATGTAATTGTCACTCAGTAACTGTGAGTGGCCATTTTCTGCTTCCATATTTCTGCTGTTATTACTACTTCTCCTCTGATGATCTTGACTTTTTCCTCCAGGAGGCATCACTGTTACGTATGAAGGCAACATACAGCCATTGTCATTTAATCCTCAAAAAGACCTTGTGAAATAGGCATTATTCTTGCCATTTAGGTATTTGCCCTGGGTTACAAAGGCAGCAGAGGTGGTATTTGAACTCTTGTCTGTATGATGCCAAATCACTGATCATTTTCCCTGTAACGCACTAACTTCTTATATCTGTAATTTATGAAGGGACTAATGAGATTATTTCGGCAACAGCTGTCTGCCTGTATCTTGGTTAGCCTGTTTTCCAGGTTAATAAAAGTTTTGGCCTTTGTGGCATGCCATTCTACAAATTATACAGGTGGAGTAGTTATTCAGAATTTGTTGGAGATGTCAGTCTTTGAATTACAGATATTTTATTTCCAGAATTATAGGATATTATTTCCTGCCCTAGAACGCTCATGAAACTCCCTCTCTCACTCTTTCCCCCTCCGCCTTTGCCCTTCACTCTCATAAAAAACGTACCTGTTTCAAGATGGTGCAAGCATGGCTTTTGAAATTGTAGACTGCATCAATTTAAGCATAACTTTTTTTTTTGCGGTACGGAGGCCTCTCACTGCTGTGGCCTCTCCCGTTGCGGAGCACAGGCTCCGGACGCGCAGGCCCAGCGGCCATGGCTCACGGGCCCAGCCACTCCGCGGCATGTGGGATCTTCCCGGACCGGGGTACGAACCCGCGTCCCCTGCATCGGCAGGCGGACTCTCAAACCACTGCGCCACCAGGGAAGCCCAAGCATAACTTTAAAATATAAATCTTGCCATAGAATTTTCTCCTAAAATCCTTCACGTGTACATTGCTGTCAATTTTTTTATGAAACAGGAATCATCATTTTGAGGACAGGGTATGTAACTGTTCAATCAGAAGCGAATTAGAAGTAGGACACTAATGACAGCCAGTGATTGAGAGATAAAATTATAGAGTGACTCTGAGTTGAGTGGTGTGCCTGGTGAGCCTGAGGCAGCTCAAGTGATGATTTCTGGGTTAAAGGAAGTGAGACTGAGGTGTAATAATTTTAGACAGCTAGTCTCTGACCTCTTTGACTGGGTTGGTTTGTTTTCTCCCCCCGGTTAAATTATTTATTTAGTTAGTTAGTCTTGGCTGCGTCAGGTCTTAGTTGCGGCACGGGATCTTTTGTTGTGGCATGCGGGCTTCAGAGCACGTGGGCTCGGTAATTGCAGCACGTAGGCTCTCTAGTTGAGGCTCTTGGGCTCAGTAGTTGTGGCGCGTGGGCTTAGATGCCCCGCGGCATGTGGGATCTTAGTTCCCTGACTGGGGATCAAACCCACGTCCCCTCCATTGGAAGGTGGATTCTTTACCACTGGACCACCAGGGAAGTCCCTGACTGGGTCTTTCTACTTTTGCATCCTTCACTCTTGAGTGAATGGATTTGTTAGACCACTTGTGTTCTGTTATGTTTTCAAGGAAGTATTTAGTGTGGTTCCCCCGAGACTGGAAGAAGTAAGACATTCCACATTATGTCCCATTTTCCCTGACTGCAGTACTTTTCAGTACATATATGTTTTCTGGCATAGAAGTGGGGATGGCGAATGAAATGCACAATCAAAATAAATGCTTCTGAAAGAAAATTTCCTACTTGAATTATATGTCCTGTGTGTGATTCCTTTATTTTATGAGAAGGATTTTTTGTTTTGTTTTGTTTTTTGTTTTTCTTTTTCTTGACCGCGCCATGTGGCTTGTGGGATCTTAGTTCCCCAACCAGGGATTGAACCCGGGCCCTCGTCAGTGAAAGTGCAGAGTCCTAACCACTGGACTGCCAGGGAATTCCCGAGAAGGATAGTTTTTGATGGTGGCTAGAAGTAAAGGGAGTTGGAGAGTTAGATGGGGATTCTGGGTGGGAGAGCCCCATATATCAGACTAAAGTTTTTGGACCCACTCCTTAACAGTGGGAGCCTTTAAAAGTTTTTATTGGCAGATGACTTAATATAAGTACAATCATTTAATGAAGTATAATTTATTCTCAGGTAATATTCAAGCTTGGTTTGTATTTTTATATTTTAAAGATTCATTTCTGATTTTTTTCCCCTTTTTTTTCTTCCCAATCACTCATTCCCCGTCTCCTTAGATCTCCCATCTTGTAATCACCTGACAGGGTGTAGAGGTGCATCTCCTGAGCCAGGGAGAAGTCTGAGGGAAGCACTGCCCCTGGGTGACGGTGTAAAGCAGGCAGGAAATCTGCATTGACCTTACCTCTTGGGACCACCTCCCAGGTCTCCCCCCGTCAGCTGGTCTCCTTGGACCCCAGGGCCTTCCTGTGGCTGCTGGACAGCCTGGATTACCACCACCCCGTGGCCCACCTTTTGTCCCAACCCCACCTGACTCCTTCAGGATCTGCTCCTTCCTTGTTCAAGATCTGCCTGGTGTTTGGTCCTTTCCCCCAGTTATGACCTGTCTCGTTCCTCATTCCTCTTCACCCTGTTCTGGGTAGTAGTCCACTGGGTGCTGAACTCCCTAAAGCCAGGGACCACGACTTCTTAGGCCTCGAAGTAACTGCCAGATTACAAAGAATATTTTTAGAGCAGACATTTGGGTTCCTCTTGAATCATACGTGCTAGGCGGCCTCTTCCCTAGCATTCCCGGAGGATCGTCCTGCTCGGGGAAGGTGGGAGGCCTGGCTCTGGGCCAGAGCACCCTGTTCATCTTCAAAGATCATATGTGAGTTCGAGAAAACAAACATACCCCAATACTGAACTACTTGTTGTTCTTTTGTGCTCAGTCGAGGGGATTGTTTGTTTTGTTTTGGGTTAATCATTTCTATAAGAAATCTGAAGTTTTAGGAGCTCTGAAAATTGCTAAGGTCTGTGGGTGACATTAACAGACTGATCATCTTTGCCAGCCTTTGGCTAAAATACAGGAAGAGTTCAGCACGTTTTATTTTCTACTTGAAGCAGTAAACAATTCTTACTTTTCTCTTAGTGAGACATGCTCCCTGCCTAATACAAGTATATTTTCCCCCATTTGCTGAGCATTTTAGATATTTGTATCACCTCTGATATAGAAATACATGAGAATTATGCATATCAGAAAAAAATCCCAATCAGAATGTGATTTGGAGAAACATCCTACTTGATTTATGCTGGATAGACTGTTCTGTGTATGACTTGTTTTTCCTGGGAGAAGGAAAGAGATCGTTGACTAGAAATATGTAAGTGATCATTTAAACATTGAGGGAAAGATGGCATAGGTTTGGTCTTCAGATTTGTGTTCTTTGTAAAGTAAAATAATGAAACAAACAAAACACCCAACCTTCACAAGAGAGATAGTACAATGAGTGGGTAAAGCATTTGGCCCAGGAGACAGAGATTGAATCCTGTGTTTGAACCCTGCCGCAGCAGCCAGTATGTGTGACACTGACAGGTAAATTGATTAGCCTCACTAGGCCTTACTTCCCCCTTTGCTCTTGGGGCTGTTGACGGTATCTGCCTCATGAAGGTTTTGTGTAGGTTGAATGAGGAAATGTATGCAAAATGTTTAGCTCTAGTAAATAGTGAATAAATGTTAGCCCACTTAACCTTGCTCTTGTTATAGTAGATGTAAATACTATGAAACTTAATTTGACAACATTTCTGAAATGTGGAATTATTCCAGTGCTGAAAGTAATGGATATAAAAAGGTGCTTGTTTCTGTAACCAAATCACATCAGAGAAATCAAGATTTAAAAAAACAGGCAGTTGATGAAGGTTAATTGTATTGACAAAAAATATGTTTTCCCGAGCTGGACATGATGAACAAGTAAGGAATTTAAAAATAAAAGTATTCTCTTAAAGTGGCTTCAATATTACATATTCATGTAAAAATCTTTTGTTTTATAGGGTTACGTTGTTAGACCTTATGATAGCCAAAATAATGGGTGATGAGCCACTGAGCAAGGATGAGATCCCTGTGTTTTTGAGCCATGCCGAGCTGATTGCGAGCACTTTTGTGGATCAGTGCAAGACTGTGCTGAAATTGACCTCTGAGCAGCATGCTGAGGATGAGGTAAGAGAACAGACAGATTTTCTAACTCAGCTAGGTCCTCTAAGGACAAAAGCTTTAAAAACTATTATAGGGACTTTCCTGGTGGCACAGTGGTTAAGAGTCCGCCTGCCAGTGCAGGGGACACAGGTTTGAACCCTGGTCCGGGAAGATCCCACATGCCGCGGAGCACCTAAACCCGTGCACCACAACTGCTGAGCCTGCACTCTAGAGCCTGCAAGCCACAACTGCTGAAGCCCACATGCCATAACGACTGAAGCCTGCGTGCCTAGAGCCTGTGCTCTGCAACAAGAGAAGCCACCGCAATAAGAAGCCCGTGCACCGCAGCGAAGAGTAGCCCCCGCTTAACGCAATTAGAGAAGGCCTGCACGCAGCAACAAAGACCCGACGCAGCCATAAATACATACATACATACATACATACATACAATTATGTAAGTAACGTATCTGCTGCATGTTGGTGGGTGCACTCCCTCTCTAAAATTTCTATGTAGGGGCCTTTGGGACGTGATTAGGTCATGAGGGCCCTCATGCATGTAAGTAGTGCTCTTATAAAAGACACCCCAGAAAGATTCCTTACCCCTTCCACCTTGTAAGGGCACAGCGAGAAGTTGGCCATCTGAAGCCTAGAAGAGGCCCCTCCCCAGAACCCAACCACACTGGCACCCTGATCTTGGGCTTCCAGCTTCCAGAACTGTGAGAAATAAATGTTTGTTGTTTATAAGCCACCCTGTTTGTTGTATTTTGTCATAGGAGCCTGAGCTAAGACAGTATCCTTATTTTAGAACACTTAACGGAAATACAGAAAAGGGAGAGCAGTGCCCTTACTCTTACACCGTCCAGAGCTAATGACTTAAAATAATAGTTAATATATTTTTCTAGGCAAATAACATCAAATACATGCATGCATACATACACACATACACAAACATATATATATATATAAAAAGTGAAATCATTCTGGGCTTCCCTGGTGGCGCAGTGGTTAAGAATCCACCTGCCAATGCAGGGGACACGGGTTCGATCCCTGGTCTGGGAAGATCCCACGTGCCGCGGAGCAAGTGAGCCCGTGTGGCACAACTACTGAACCCACGCGTCACAACTACTGAAGCCCGCGCACCTAGAGCCCATGCTCCTCAACAAGAGAAGCCACTGCAATGAGAAGCCCGCGCACCACAACAAAGGGTAGTCCCCGCTTGCTGCACCTAGAGAAAGCCCGCGTGCGCAGCCATGAAGACCCAGTGCAGCCAAAAATAAATAAATAAAAAAATGAAATCATCTGTACCACCAATTTGTAAGTTCCTGTTTTTTCTTCTGAATGTGTGTAAGTTGCATGAGGGCAGAAGTTTTGACTGTTATGTTCATAGAACTGTGTACATAGTAGGCACTTTAGTGAATATTTGCTGAGTGCACAAACAAGCAATACATAGTGAATGTCTTTTTAAAATGCTGGTGTAGGGCCTCCCTGGTGGCACAGTGGTTGAGAGTCCGCCTGCCGATGCAGAGGACACGGGTTTGTGCCCCGGTCCGGGAAGATCCCACATGCCGCGGAGCGGCTGGGCCCGTGAGCCATGGCCGCTGAGCCTGCGCGTCCGGAGCCTGTGCTCCGCAACGGGAGAGGCCGCAACAGTGAGAGGCCGGCGTACCAAAAAAAAAAAAAAAAAAAAAAAAATGCCGGTGTAGCATTCTGTGTAAAGAATTTACCATGATTATTTGTCTGTAGTCTGTGTCTTTGTAGTTATGTCTTCATACATTTTAAAATTCTCCTCGAGCCTACCCTAGATCATTTAGGTCTTGTCTTCACTAAGGAGATGGACATTAGCTTACAGTAGTTGTGTTTCCCTCCTCTTTAATTCAGGAACCCTCTTTATTTCTGTCTGCTCCTTCCTTCCCTTCTGTCTTAAAGTTAGTGTTGTTCTTTCTCTGGAATACTACTCAGCAGTAAAAAGAAATGCACTTCTGGTGTAACAGCAGAGATGAATCTCAAGCATAGAGTGCAGATAGACTAGAGAGTACCCTGCACGCGTCCATCTCTGTGAAATTCTGCAGCGGGCAAAACTTATCGATTATAACAAAGCAGATCAGCTGTCACCCGGGCTGGAAGTGGAGGGTGGAATTGATTGTCGAGGGACATGAAGGAACATCTTGGGTAATGGAAGTGTTATATGTAGCTGTGTACAGTGACACAACCCTACTCTCCAGGTGGACGTATTTTATTGCATGTGAATTATACCTCAAGTGTCGATTTCAACGTGTTCAAAAACATCACAGAGGTTATTTCCATGCTGATAGGAATGGTGAGTAGAGAGGTAATCACTTGGGCTCAGAGGCAGGAATAGGTGAGCAGGCTGCCCTTTGACAGGCCCGTCCACTTGCTGTCCCCAGATGGGGAGGTAGGGAAGGTGGACCCTGACCCACAGCATTTCCTGGAGGGCTGTGTGTGACACTGTGGACCCGTTAACTCCCACAGTAAATGTAGGCCGTGATTATGCTTGTTCTGCCATGTAAGTGTATTTCCTTCTTTGTGAAAATACCTTCTTCAAGGTTGCTTTGCTGTTGATTTTCTGTGCTGGATCAGAGAGGCCATGTCAGGTCTCGCGGTAAGGTCAGTATTTTCATTCTCCTTTCTGTGGTAGCAGAAAGCTTTACTCGGAGGCTGCTTCCCTTTCTGGAGATAGAGTTGCCTCTGTTTCCAGCAGGAGGAGCAGCGAGCTGTGCTTCAAGGACGTTTCAAAGAGGAATTTTCCAGGAGACAGAAAATGAAGTACACTTAGTACTTGTTAAATCCAGCTTTGAACTTTTTCAAGGCACTTATATTTAAAGTATAGATGATTTCAATGTTGTACTAAGAAGTTACCTGATGTAACTTTTTATGTTTAGGAAAAGTTATATTTTTCACACTTTTTTCTTTAAAGGTGGGAGGAATTATTATGTATTGATAGATAGAAAATTGTAGATAGTTGTTTTTTTTTTTGAAAAGCCCAAATAGTTCACTTTGAAAATTCATTGATCTATATACTCATGACTTGTAGTTGTTGATTGTGTATATGGTATCCTTTAAGGTTGAAGTTTTTAAAAAAAGCCATAGTAGTATTTAAGGAGGACCTGTACCTCAATATTAAGTATACCGTAAACCTCGTAGTGTATTGGAGCTGGCCTGTACCAACCTCTGAGAGTCAGTTATTAAATATGCAGAAATTTGTGAGCTTGGTAGTTTGAAGTCAGCCACGGTGGAAGTGTTTATACCATTCACTGCTGAATCCGCTGCCAGTTTACCAGCAAACACTGCATTTACCCATTTGTGACATTTTTAGGACAAGACGTCCAATAAAGTGCTCATGATGCTTGCTATGACCTAAAAATCAGAATGAAAATAAATGTTTTTAATAGCATCGGTTTTTAAATTTATTTGTTTGGCTTTAAAATTCTGAGGTTTTATTCGTGTGTTCCTTTATACAAATAGTCTTAGGTTCTCATATTAACATACCTGTTTCTGTCCTTTGGTAAATTTTGGCGTACTACTTGTTTCCAGTTTTTGGTGTGTTTTTGTCAGTTGTAGTATGCTTATTTTTTTAAGATCGAAGAGTCAGTTTAGCTTTATCTTGAGTCTCAGTCTTGTCGCTTGCTGTAGTGAAACTTGCCTTTCTTATGAAATATTTTCTTTGTTGTAAGAAAAAGTAATTCAGGCCAAATGCTGTGAAACGGAAGGTTAAGAACTCCTCTTTTTCACTCATCCCCCATCTATTTTCTACAGATATATCAGTGTATACTTTTTTCCTTCCGAAACTTTTTTGTATATACACACCTATACATTTTGTTGCTTTTTTGAGACACAATATATTCTATCCTGCAACTTCCTTTTCGCTTACCCTGATGTTTCGTACACTCTAACACGTGTGCATATTCATCTCACCCTTTTTAATAGTTGAATAGTATTTCACTATATAGATGCATCACAGGTTTTTTCTTTTGTTCTCCGTAGATGTACATACGAGTTGCTTACAGATTTGTTTTCTTAAAAACCTTCACAAATAATACTGCAGTGAACATCCTTGTAAAAATATCCTTGCAATTTTGGACAAGTAGATCTGGGATTATAAATTCCTGGAAGTTGAATTGCTGAGTAGAGAGAGTATGTTTATTTAAAATTTGTAAGAGAAATTTCTAAATGACAAACCTAAGAGTACAAGAGTGTGTGGGTCTGCACCCCTTCACTAATCTAATTATCATTTCTTTCTTGTTTTTCGGTGATCAGTATGTTAGTTTGTTTTTCATGTTAGGTTACCTTTTAAAATACGTTTATTAATGAGCATTTTCAGAAAGTTAATCTTTTGTCACACATACAAGAAACTTTTTTTTTTTTGCCCATAGTTAATTTTTTGTTTGAATTTATTTATGGTAGTCTTAGCCTTTTAGGAATTTGTTTTGTTTTTAATCTAGTTAGGCTTATCAATTTTATCCTTATGACTTCTGAATTTTTTTTTTACAGATTAGTAAAATCATCTCCACTTAGATTGTGGAAATATACACCTATATATTCTGGTTCTTTCAGTACTTTGTCTGAGTTTTTAATTAACCTAGAATTTATTTCTGAGTAAGAAGTGTAGTACAGATCCAAATGAATTGCTTGTGTCTTTCAACTCTCCAAGACTATAATCTTTGGTAGAAGACTGCTTGGGTTTGAACCTGGATTTCTTATTATTGGTGTGTGATCTTGGAAGTTACTTACCTTCTTTGTGCTCCAGTTTCTTTTGCCTGTAAAATGAATTGTATTTTAATATAAGCACTTAGTATACTGACTGGTACATAGCTACTATTCCCTAAAAGTTATCTGTTAATTATTGTATCAATACCATTTAGTGAATAATCTCATCCTTTCTACTAATTTTAGTGCCACCCAAATCATATGTTAATTTTTTAATATAATTTTGGATCCATTTCTGGATTTCTGACCTTTTACGGTGGAAATCAGTAAGATACTAACAACTGTTAAAGAATTCAAATGAATTCGTACGTTTATATGCGATAAAGGAATGCTGAAGTGAACTTACAGAGAGATGCAGAAAGTAGTCTATGTACAAGGCAGTAATTAATTGCATTCCAGCCAGACAGAAGTAATCTCCATTTCTGTAGACAAGAATCATTGGCATTATTGTCAGTTTTATGCAACTGACAATGTTGTAAAATAGCTCAGAGACACTGAATGGTAAAGTGAGCCCAGGCAGATCTAGATGGTAGACTGATCTCTGTTTTTCTCTTTTAACAACTTCAAAATCTTGTTCCTTTGACTTGCCTACATCTTTTTTCCCCCATTTGTGTCTGACTTAATGAATATAGTTTTATAATACTTACAAATAATGGAAGGGTATCTCACGTATTCCTCTTATTTTTTTAAAAGAATCATTTTTCTGGCTGTTATTTCATTATTAGTTTCCAAATGCTCATTAGAAACACTTCATTAATAAAAGGATTCTAATGATTAAAACTGGAGATGTGTTAGGTGAGGATAGATTAATTTTCTTTGGGGTTTATTTCAGGTAATATCATAGAATTTAGGAGCTGGAAGGAAACTTCAGATCATCTCTTCCAACCCCGTAATTTTATTTTTGTCTTTTTATCAAGAAAAATTTCAAACATAGACTAAGAGAAAAAGTGTCTTGAAACCCCATCACCCAGCTTCAGCACTTACCATTTCATCCCCATTCTTGTTTCATCAACAGTCCCACCCATTCTTATGCCAGTTGCCCCCGATTCAAAGAGGGCTCCCACATAGTTCATCAGTTAATAGTTTACATGTGTCTCTAAAAGATAAGGAGTCTTAATACATAAGTAAAATACAGTTAGCACATCTGAAAACTTAATAAACTTTTAATATCAAATGAACAAAATGTTCCCCATTGTCTAATACTCTTTTTCAAGTTTCTTTTCTTTGAATCAGGATATAAGGGCATACATTGCAATTGGCTGCTATATCTTAAATCTCCTTTAACTAGGTTCCCCTTTCCTCTTCCTCCTCTCTTTTTTTCCCACCTTTGCTCATTTTCTGTTGAACTGGGTTATTTCACCTGTACAGTTTCCTACAGTTTCCTTTTTGATGAAGATATCTCCATGGTGGGGTTTAACATACCCCCTCTTTTCCTTGCATTTCCTGTGAATGATAATTCCTTCCAGAGGCTTATTCAGATTTGGGTTAGGTCTTTTTTTTCTTCTTCTTTTTTTCTCTTTCTAGTATATTTCATTGTTGGTGATAAGTACTTTCATCGAGTCATATAATGTCTGGTTGTCTCTTTTTGTAATGTTAGCAGTTGTTAATGACTATTGACTAGATCCATTAATTCTTTGCAGGTTGTGAAATGGTGGTATTTGGACTCTATCATTCATTTTTCATTTTTTAGCTGGAATATTTTATAAAGAGAAACTTCTAATAAACTTTTAGGTTATGCAAGGTTCATTTTGATTAAGAAGAACAGAATAAATGGTTGATCACCACCCCCCTTTGATTACCAGTCTTCAAAGTATTGAGCTGGTTTTATGGTATCATACAAAGTTGATGAGTGAGTTGTTTAGTTTTACTTTAATCATTATTATGAAGTCATGGCTTGTAAACCACTGGATTTGTTTTCAGTCCATTTTAGCAGTAATTCTTCCTAATGGTTTCACATGCCATTGCTGGCCGGGGGAGCCTCTTCAAGTTGCTTCTGATTCCTTGTGACATGATCCGAGGAGACTCTGATAGCTGCCTTGCTCTCTGGTATGACAAGGTGTGCAGGGTCATCTCATATGTGCTCTGCCCCAGACCTATAGCCAATCAGCCATGTCTTGAAGGAGAAGTGGTATCCGAAGATGACCGTCTGGGCAACTACTCATTTAATAAAAGAGCATGCAGACGCTGTGCTAAATAAGTTAATGGATTTGCTCCAGCCTTCTAAACAGACTTCTAATCTAGATATTTTCTCCTAACTTTTAAACTAGCAAGGGAAAGCTATTAAAATTAAAGACACAAAAAAATGTGTGTTTCTTGCTATTTGAGATTTCAGAATACTACATTAAAATATCATCTCCTGGGGACATACCCGGCGGTCCAGTGGTGAAGACTTTGCGTTCCAGTGCAGGAGGTGTGGGTTCGATCCCTGGTCGGGGAGCTAAGATCCCACATGCGTCGTGGCCAAAAAACCAAAACATAGAGCATGTTGTAACAAATTCAGTAAAGACTTTAAAAGTGGTCCACATCAAAGAAATCTTTAAAAAAAATACTGTCTCCTAATTGGAGAATAATAAATACACATTTAGAATTTTAAAAAGGAAATAACTTGTTTTTCTTTTGAAGAACATTATGTGAGATAATAAATGGTGAAATTTGTATTACCACATTTTGTCAAATAATGTGCACTGTAAAAATGAAGTAAAAAAATCTGTGCAAAAATTACATTTTAAAATTATATTTAGACTACCTAATGCCATGCAGTTGGTAGCTGGTAGTTTCTTGATCATGTACTCTATTTGATAATAAGTTATTTAGTAGTTATGTGAACTAACATTTTCAAGTATCTTTTCTAAGCTACCAAGATATTGCATATAGGTTTATATTCACCCAGAAATAATCCAAGTTACTGCAGCTGAAGTTCTTTCAACCACAGCATTTTACAGGATTCCTGTGGACAAGAAATTAATGTATTTCATGGGATATTTGTATCTTTAAAGTAGAACTTGCTTGCTGGGAACGCTTTAAAAAGAAAGTATTTGCATAAATGTTATGTACATAGCTAGTAATTTTGAACATTTATTCCACTGTTGGAAGGTATTTTTGCTTGAATAAGAACTTTTCTTACTGTTTGCTCCAAGAAGACACATAATGACACATAATCTTGTGTTCTTGATGGCAGATGTCTGCTGTTGGTGAAAATGATTATTCCTGTACATGTTTAATACTTCTGTTTTGTTCTTGATAGTTCTGGTTCTCTGTTTAGATGTTACAAGCACTGTCTCTTGAACATTTTTTATTTCATTCTCCTACAGTTATTTAATAATAGTCAAATCATTTAGCTTGCCTTAAAAGTCATATTTTCTTTTCCTTTTAGGAGGCGCTGGCTACAATTAGGCTTCTTGATGTCCTTTGTGAAATGACTGCTAATACTGACCTGCTCGGCTATCTACAGGTTTTTCCTGGCTTGCTGGAAAGAGTGATTGGTGAGTGAAATATCGCACATATTATTTTATTTATTTATGTATGTATGTATTTATATATGTATTATTTATTTATTTGACTGCGCCGGGTCTTTAGTTGTGGCATGCGGGATCTTTGGTTGCAGCGTGTGGGATCTTTGGTTGCAGCATGAGGGATCTTTAATTGTGGCATGCGTGCGGTATATAGTTCCTTGACCAGGGATTGAACCCACACCTCCTGCACTGGAACGCAAAGTCTTCACCGCTGGACCACCATGGAAGTCCCCATATTATTTTTAACTAAAAAATCTTTGACTTGTCATACTGTAGTATAAGTTCAAACACAGATCCTTAATTTTCAGTGTATTAGTATATTTTTGAGATTTTTTTGGAATATTTTTTCTTGAAAGGAATCACAGTGTTTTGGTAACAGCTCAGGCTCTTGCCACTTAGCCTGCTGTTTGTGATGCGTAATCAGTTGGTGAGGACATTAATCCTGCTACACAGGGTGCCCGTAGTGGGTATCCATCAGTGGTGGTTGTGATGGTGGTGATGGAGGGGGCAGTTATGACAGTGATGGGGGGGGGGGTTATGACAGTGATGGGGTTTTGACGATGTTGGCGATTTTCATGCTCCTATAGTTTTACCAGATTTGTTAGTAAATTTTTCCAGTTACACTTATGGAACATGAAGAATATTGCTTTACCCGTAGTACTGATAATTATGTATTCTGTTCTTATAAGAAAACTGTTTTAAACAAGAAGCCATTGCTTGAAATATTCCCATCTTTGCTAAAAAGCTGTTTGCAAAATAATTCATCTACAACCTGTTCCTTGTGCTTAGCCATGCTTATGGTTGCTCTTCAGTGTTTGCTATTCTTTTCTTTAAAAAAAAAGATTGTACTTATTCTGGAGACCCATATGCCAAGAAAGATGAATTGGTGTCTAGATGGGTAGATGAGTTAGCAGTGAGCTTTAGGAGATATTTAGAATCGCATATCAGTGTTTTATTTTGAATGCGGTGCTTCCAGTGATAATGAAAATGAGACATCACAAACCTGAGAAACTGAATCATTGTGGGAAAAGCATGTGTTTGGAGCCAGGGCAAACATGGGTTGTCAGCCCAACTCTGCCCAATTACTAACTTCTCTGAGCCTGATTTCTTCATTATAAAATTGGGAAAGTGACCTGCCTTTAGTAACTTTATTGAGAGTGTTAAATGAGATAATGTGAAAACATTTAATAAAGCTTCTGGAAGGTTGTCTACTTTCATAGGCTGCCTACAAGCATTTCATAGAGTATAACAACGTGAAGTTATTTCTTCTGAGCGCAGCCGAAGTAGATTAACGGGGAACACATGCTGCCTTCTGATTATCTGGACAATGAGAAAAAAATCAACGTGCTTCTTGGTTTTTGTCATATGGCTCGTTACAGATCTAGGTGCTGCAGGTCAGACTTAGCTGACTATAGTTGTCGCATGAGTTCCTTCATAAGGAAGCTGGAATTGGAGACCTTTTACTCGGAAAGATGATAGGAAATTTTTAGCTAACTTTTCTTTGTGGATAAATAGAAAGTCCAGGTGGGGTTAATCATTTTGGCTTATCTGCAAAACTAGAGTCATGAAAAATTCTAAAGCAAAAGCAGAAGAGCCTTCTAATTGTTATTTTAAAGAAAGCTTTCAGTACTCTACCTGTATTTTATTTTAATCCATTAAAATAAATTAGATTTATTTATGGGAATCTAGTATAAAACATAAAAATAAAAATTTTCGTATGGCAAATGAAGTTTATTGTTTTTGTCATAGAACTTTTACGAGTGGTTCATGCAGCTGGCAGCGACACCATGAACATCTTCAGCACCTGTGCTCGCATGAAAGCAGAAGGCGACGTCTCACATATGGCTGAGGGCTTCAAGTCTCATCTCATTCGTCTGATTGGAAATCTGTGTTACAAGAATAAAGATAACCAAGACAAGGTACGGTTCTTTCTTAGCGTATTTCATACATATATGGCTTGATTTAGAAAATAATATTTAGGATTTAGAATCTGTTCACTTTTGGGGAATGAAGCTTGAGGTGCTTAGAAAGTAGCCTGAGGTATATCTATATGCATATATTACCACAGGTAAACATAATGTGTCATATTTGTTTGTATTAGGGTTTGTATTTTTGTAATTTTGCGTTGTGTTTGTCCATAGTGTGTTTGAGCCAGTCTCCTTTCTTTTAAGTAGTCAATGCTGCCCTAAGCCTGTGTATTTAAGCACACTGTTTGTTTATATAGAGAACAGTGAATGAGAAATCGAACCTAGAAATTTTCAAACACATAGTAGACGTTTAATAAACAGTAGTTTTTATTGACTGTTATCTTAAAAAACAAACCGATGGACCTAGAGTCTGTCAGACAGAGTGGAGTAAGTCAGAAAGAGAAAAACAAATACCGGATGCTAACACATATGTATGGAATCTAGGAAAATGGTACTGATGAACCTAGTGGCAGGGCAGGAATAAAGATGCAGATGTGGAGAATGGACTTGAGGACATGGGGAGGGGGAAGGGGAGGCTGGGACGTAGTGAGGGTAGCATGGACATATATACACTACCAAACGTAAAATAGCTAGCTAGGGGGAAGCTGCTGCAGAGCACAGGGAGATCAGCTCGGTGCTTTGTGACGACCTAGAGGGGTGGGATAGGGAGGGAGGGAGGGAGGCTCAAGAGGGAGGGGATATGGGGATATGTGTGTACGTATGGCTGATTCACTTTGTTGTACAGCAGAAACTAACAGAACATTGTAAAGCAATTATACTCCAATAAAGATGCATAAACAAACAAACAAACAAACAGACCTTAACACCTGTGCCCTACATTTATGGATGATAACATCATAAGCATTTCTTCCCGATATCTTGAAATGGACATGATGTTTAAGTATTAAATCTCTGAAAACTCAGTAGACTGCCATTAGAAACCTCTTTTGTGCTGAATAGCTTAGGGGTAATTGTATTGATAATGTGATTAAAAAGAGACGGCAGGAGAATTGGACCATATGCTTCATATTGAACAAGTCTGCCTGTATTTTTCCGGAGTTTTACTTTGGATGGCATTTGTTTCGCTTCATCAGATACTGAATATATGTGTGGCAGGTTATATTTTTTCCAAGATGGCTGCAGAAGTACCTCATCATTCTGCATGTATTCCTGCGATGTGACTTTGCCACTCCCCCATCAGGGGTTAGATTTATTTCTCTATCCTCTTGAATCTAGATGACTAAGGCCCTCTGACTGCTTTGAATAATAAAATATGGTGGGAGTGATCCTGTACCACTTCTGGTGTAGCCTTTGACTGGTCTGGCAGATTCCATATCTGGCTTCGTAGAAGCCAGTCACCATGTGAGAAGTGCAGATTCCCTGAGATCATCATGCAATTCCCTGAGATTACCAAGTCCACATGGAGAAGTCCTGGAGGATGAGATGCAGTGAGGAGAGAGAAAGAGACTAGTCAAGGAACACCAAGGAACCAGCCATGTAAGTGAGAAACCATCTTGGAACTTTTTAGGTAGTTGCTCAGTTCCCTCGTTCCAAGCTCAGTTCCTCAGTTGCCCAGTTGATGCCACATGAATCAGGGACAGCCTGCCTGGCAAAGCCCTTTCTGAATTCATGACCCACAGCACTGTGAGAAAAAGTAAAAAATTGGGGGAAAAAATTTTTCATACGTTCTGCTTCTGTTAATGCCCCTGTAAGCTAACGCTGGACTGATCCTCTTGCAAATAATAATTATAAACTCTGGACAAAAGACAGCTGTGTGAAGACACTCAGATTTGACACAAACAGATGGATTTTGGAATCGGAATGACAGTTGGAAGAACGGCACAGCAGAGAGTGTGCCATGCAGGGCAGTTAAAACTCTGATAGAAAATCTACAGTACTTTTAGCTTAAAGAATCAAAGGACAGTTTGGAGCAGTCACAGACTTTAGAAAGTGAAAGGGGGAATCCCGGAAAGGAGAACGTTAAGCCCCACATTCTGTGTACCAGCCACCTAAATCCCTGCTGATGCTTGAATCAGAGATGCGTGGGGCAGGCTCCAAGCAGCTAAGCTAAGGATAAGATAATTATACTGAGATTTGAGCTGCCACCCTGGAGTTTACGGTTTAACTCCAACCAAGGTAATTACCTGCTAAAACAAAAATATCAACATTCTTTAGAGGAATATAATAGAATCTAGAATTTTCCACAGCATAACATTCACAGTGTTTAATATAACTTACAATCCAAACTTACTTGAAACACAGAAAAATATCACCTGTTATCCAGACAAAAAAGATAACGGAGATAGACTGTGTGGTGACACACACGTTGGGTTTATCAGACAAGGATTTTAAAGCGGTTGTAACTATGCTCAAGGATGTAAAAACAAAAAACATGCTTTGAATGAATGAAAACATAGCTTATCTCAGCAGAGAAATGGAAACTATAAAAAAGGACCAAGTGGAAGTTCTAGAACTGAAAAATGCAGTATCCAAATAAAATATAAAAATTTTACTGAATGAGCTTAACAACTTGAGATGACAAAGAGTCAGTGTACTTGGAGATAGATCAATAGAAACCATCCAGCCTAAAGAACAGAAGAAATCATCCAGTCTAAAGAACAGAGGAGAGAAAAGGTTGAAAATGGAATGGCCATCCCAAGATGCTAAGTTTTGGGGTAGTACGTTTTGCAGCATTTGATAACTGGAATAATTTCTATAGGACATGGCGCAGAACTGAGCACCGGATAATTCGCTCTTTTATCGCATGTGTGTACCGTTTTGACGGCTCCTCATCTTCAAGCAGGTGTGAGTGGGAGACTACTGACCCACCCTTGGAAAATTACTGGACTGATTTTTGTAAGAGAAAGTTGATAGAGGATAAAACACTTTACCTTTTTTTAATGACCAAGACCACCTTTTTTCAGGAGCACAGAAGAAGCGGTTTTCTTGTGTGTTTACCTATACTTTTGCTGCTAATTTGGATTGGCTTCTTAAAGGAACAAAACATAGTAACCCTTAAAAGGCTTATGAAATAGCTCACTGAAGTCAGGATCAGGTTGCACCATAAGTAAATACGGAGTGTGCCCGAGTGCTGCCCTGGAGAGGTCGTGGGGCTCACAGGAAGTCTATAGTGTGTCCTTCACGTGTGCAGTCGCTAATAGCACTGCTGACTTCTGAGCAAACACTCTTGAAGGTATGAAGGAGTTCATTCTTTGAGTGTAAGAATGCCTCTGTTTCTCCTACTTTTTTTTTACCTATGCCAACAAAAAGCTTAACCTGAAAGCATTACTTGTGGGATTTTTTTTTCTCTTTCCAAAGAATATACCACAGCATAACAGCCTTGCAGCCAAATCCTGATTCAGTCTGAGCGTCAGAGACATGAGCCTTTGCTCACTGATGCCTCAAAGGATGGAGTTCACTAGCGCTTGACAACTTCAGTTATAATTTGGGAGAAATGGGTGGTTATGTAGCAGGTCTTTATCACCATGCCATTAATTTTCATTGTATTGTCTGGATGGATTGTCCCACTTCTCTGCAAATTGGGGCCCAAAGGGATGTTTGGCTCTTCCTCTACAAAAAGTATGAGTTAGGGGGATTTTGTATCATTGAGCTTAGTTTAGTTCATCCGTCACCCAGAGGGAAAAAGGGACTCATGATTTGTTTAGTGTCTACTATGTCCCGTGTTGTGCTTAGTGAACTACGTGTATTATCCACTTTCATCTTTGCATCAGCCCTGCAAATCCGGTTCTGCCAACCACACTGTAGGGAGAGGCCATCAGTTAGTGATTTGCAGAGTCCAGAGTAGAATTTAGATTTGTCTGTGAGCTCCTGGGCCTGTGCTGTCTCCCCTGTACCATGGAGCTTCTCATTTGGGAGCTCTCCAAGGGTTTGGAGAAGGGGTTTAAAACAGACTTCCTGAATGACTTGAGACGGAAGATGCTGGAGGCTGGTGAACCCTGCTCTCCCAGGCTAAGCAGCCCCCTCGGGCCTGCTCTTGGTTCAGGTCTGCCACCCGTTTGCTGCTCACATCCCTGCCTGTGGTTCATCCATGCATCAAATGTGGATGGTCCCAGCCTTGGACCCTTAGATGGATAAGACAGACAGGTGTGTCCTCCTGTGCATCTTCCCCTCTAGGAGCACCGAAGGGCCATCCTTGCCTCGTTGAACTGGAATCCCAGAGTTACTGACACACACTTCCTGGAATCTTTGTGTACTACCTGACTGCTCTGAGGTTTGATCAAAAGCCATTTAAGCCCAGCCTGGTCTTTGTGCTTGTCTGTGTAACTTTGTTCATTGCATTGAGTGCGTGCCCGCCTGCTGGATGGCTCCCCCTATAGTTAGTTATGTGGCCCTTTCCCTGTTACAAAGTTCTTTTCATCTGTATTAGTTCTTTGGAGCCTTTTGACACCTCTGTGGAAAAGGCTGAAAAGATATTATCATCATTTTCTAAATGAAGAAACCAAGGCCCAGAGAGACCAAGTGTGATTTAATTCACCTAGCATTTATTGACTGGAAACTGCCATGTGCCGCATGCTCTGGGGAAGACAGAGTCACCTTAGTAGGGAGATCCGCACGGGCACTAGCAGCTCTAAACAGAGCCCCTGTGGGGAGGGCTGTTGGAGAGGAGCAGATGACTGACGTGGTCCTCCGGTCTGGCTGTGCCAGTGCCCGGAGTAGCCCTCTCTCAGCCAGGACGGGAGCTGGCCTGCACCACAGTAGCAGGGAGGGCAGTAATCTTCCTTTCCATTTGTGTCTTTGGGCAGTGTTTAAGAGGATCAAGTTGCCTGGTTTCAGATTGAAAATCTGCTCAGAAATTTGTCTTATCCAGTCTTCCATGAATCTTGAACTCTTAGGCCTGTACACATGATGGATTGTAGTATTTCCTGAATTGTAAAGGAATTTCTAGACTTCCCTTTACCAAGTTATGGTAGGGAGATGTGCTTAACTACTTA